TTTGATGCTTAAATGAGCAATAATCAAGTCTGCTAAAAAGAAGGTAAAGAGAAAACTTAAGATTGGTTTTAATTACCTTTGGAGGATGACCCTTGAGGGGTATTTATAGCCTTTAAAGGGGTGTCCATGCATTCATTCTCATGGAAGACCGGGATCATATGTAAATACATTGAAAAGGAAGTTAAAATAGTTACATTAAATTTGAACAGGCCTTTGGGAAGTAACTGAAAGTGAGTTATTTGGTTAGCTGACAGTTGTCCTCGTGTGACGTATTGTAATAAATAAGCATAGTGAGGAATAACTGTTGAATTTGAAAAAAATGTGATCGTAACTGTCAAATGTGAATGATCATGACCCTTGAGAGAATTGAGGGCTTAGTATAAATAGGGGGCCTTAGGCAATTCGATGTTTTACCTCGCTTAATTCATAGCGAAGTGCTGCCAAAATCGTGCCAGAGCACCTTGTCGTCCGAGCTTATGATTGCCAAGTTCAAGCTTCCAGCTCGAGAAGTGTAGTAGTTGCTCAAAAATCATCCAAGTGTTTCAATTTAATAGTTAGAAATTCAGGTAACCTCATGAGCTCTACCTCTGGTTTAAGTGAAGTATCTGATTTAATCACAACTTGTTTTGACTTAGGACTAAGTCCAGTTAGGGAAGTTAGGAATAGATCAAAAAGTGAAATAGAGTGCAAGAGAGAGTTTATAGAAGATCTTAATTATCTTCCACCCCTCACCCTTCACCCCTCACCCCTTGCAGGGAGAGTTACAAGACTTAGGAGATGTCTTCCAAACAAATAGTTAGTATTGGAGGGAAGGAAGAGGTTCAAAGCCTGAGCTCAAGTGGGGAGAGCGAAACGAGGACTTCTAGAAGTGAAAGAAGTGAAAGAAGTGGAGGTGGGGTGGAGGAGATAATTCCTTCTAATATTTTAGAAGTGGATGATAGTCGAGAGAAGTGCTATGACGAGGCAGGGGAGATGATGGGGGAAGTGGTGGGATGTGAGGTGTCTTGGAAGGATAGGAGTGACCTTGTTCACTTGGTAGAATGGTATCCCATCCCACGTTTTGTTGAGGCTAGCTAAGGATGAAGAACGAGCTTGCTCAACTCTGAAGGACCATTGGATGCCTTCATACGGACATTACCTAGTGGCCGAGCTCATATTTCCTATTTTAGAGTGGTTGGTGGCGTTGCTAAGGGAGTATGGTCTCGGACTTACGCAACTTGTCGCTAACATAGTTTGGCTAGTGGTGGGATTTCTAGTTTATTGCTGGACCGAAGGTGTGGCCATCCCTACTTGACTTTATTCAAGTATTGTTTCTTAATCAAGGAAGGGAGTAATAAGGAGAAGGGGTGGTTTTATTTTACACCTTGGCTGATTGGAGGTAGGAGTAGGAGCCTTTTTAGCGTAGGTCATTCCTTAATCAAGGGGTGGAAAGATAAATTTTTCTTTACGGATGACACGAAGTGGGGAAGGATGGATGCGGAGATGGAGGAGCTTTGTAGGTGGAAGGGAAAGAAGGCTAACCCGAACAAGTACAAGTTGAGTGAGGGGGAGGAGCAGGTAGAGAGGTTGAAGAGGGTGGAGGGAGAGGTGATGGATATTATGAATCTCACCAACCCTAAGATGCTAGAGGTAGTTGAGATATATGGGAGGAGCTTGTTGAGCAGAGGTGTGTATGACTCAACTAAGATTGCTTTTAAAGTTGCAGGTTTGATTAAAATTGTTA